CATTATTCCTACCTGTTTTCCAGCTTCTAAAACATCAGCCAGTTTGACATTTCCACATTCTGTGATTGTTTCTGAACACTTGGACTGCAAGGTCATACTACTACCCAAGCTCTTTAAGAGGACCAATTGTTTTTTGCCTGTTATTTTGAACAGAAACATCTAGGTGTCTGGATCTCATTCTGTGTGAACCACTTTAGGGTGGCAGTTTGGACACAGAATGCATAGGCTTAATTGAAAATTTCTGACAAGCCAGCATAGCTCCTTTCAAATCACTCTCTCTGAGTCCTAACTTTCCCTATATACACATGGGAAGACAGATGCAAAGAAAATACAAATAAAGTAGTCAGTTCTTCTCAATGAGAACTAATATCATTGGAAAATATTTATTGCAATTTGTATCACATAGTCTAATGGCTTTTGTGCCCAAGAGGCAGTAATAATTTCTTAGAACATCAGATGCCCTTTTAGGATGTTACTGATAAGAGAAAGCAATGGACTGCATACCCAATGACTGCTGCTTTGAATTTCTTTTGCTTCTTTAATATATATTTTCCTTTTAAAATTCATTACTTATTTTTAATTTTTTTTAAATTTTGAGTTCCTAATTCTCTCCTTCCATCCCTCCCCTCCCTTATACATTGAGAAGGCAAGAAATATGATATCAATTATATATGTGGAATTATGCAAAACATATTTCTATATTAGCATGTTGCAAAAAAAAAAAGGAAAGAAAAATAAAGTGAAAAGGCATGCTTTATTTTATATTTAGACTTCATCAGTTCCTTCTCTGAAGGTGGATAGCATTTTTCATTGTAAGTCCTTTGGAATTGTCTTGGACTATTGTATGATCAGAGTAGTTAGGTCATTCACAGATGCTCATCATACAGTATTGCTATTACTATGTACAATATTCTCCTGGTTCTGTTCACTTCACTTTACATTAGTTCGTGTAAGTCTTTCCAGGTTTTTCTGAAATTATCCTGCTTATCATTTCTTATAGCACAATAATATTCCATTACAATCATATACTACAGCTTGTTCAGCCATGCCCCAATTGATGGGAATCCCCTCAATTTCTAATTCTTTACCACCACTAAAAGAGCTACTATAAATAAGTTTGTATAGATTGGTCTTCTTCCTTTTTTCTCTGATCTATCATGGAAATCTTTAAGCTTTAATAGCTTAAAACTGCATAGAGATTGAAAAGATATCCTATATATTTCTGGGTTTGTTTTGCTTTCCAACAATTTGGGATGTTTTAAAATATTTTTATATTAATTTACTAGCTTGCGTTATGTAATGGCATAGTAGTTAGAGAACTGCCTCTGAGTCGAGAAATTCTGGGTTCAAATCCTCCCGTGACCCCCATTGGCTATGTGGCCCTGGGCAAATCATTTAACTTTTTAGTTCCCCAAGCAACTCTCTAAGGCTATAAGCTGCTGCACAGTTGCCAGGTCTCCATTGATAGAGTTTCTTCACTGAACACTTTCTATATCAGTTAAATCATAGGTCTAGATTCTCCCCCCAAAAATGTGTCATGTGATTATACACATACACATACACATACACACAGGTATAGAGATATAGAGATTATGATATCTCAAAGTATTTATTATTAATTTATATTATTATTAAAGATTTAAAGGAATAGAAAACATAATATTCCCTTGTGTTTATTATCATTACAGACTGAGGCATAAAGAATATATTTTATTTATTTCAAAAAAGTATTTGAGTATAGTAAAATGCAAACTTGAAGGCTTTCTTCAGAAAATATTTCTGCAATACATACATCAAAATCATATTAGTTCCATGACAGAAACAACTATAGCTCTGTCCCATGTTAAGCATTATAAAAGCAAGGTTTTAAACAGTTTTGCTTACCTAACATCTTTTCAGTGAGCTGATGAACGTGGACTTATCCTAGAACATGTTCTCCAAAGATTCCAAACAAAAGAATTGTTTTCTCTTAATAGTGAAGATCTTCAAAGGCAAATGAAATTATGTTAACTTTATCAAAGTTCTCAAACTCTAAAAAAGCTTCCTCAATAAAATCCAAAGTCACTGAGAAGAAATAAGCTTAACCATGTACACTATAAAAAACCAAGTGGATGAAAACATACATTGCCCTGATTGAAATATATTGGATAAGCAGTTCATTCAGTTACTACATCAGTATCATTCTCTTGAACCAGCATTACAAATATACAACTAGCTGGCATAAGAATTGAATATGAGCTTTTGCTAGATCACACTCCAATACATTGAAAGAAAGCATCATACAACTCAGCAAACCTTTGTGACAACACTCTGTATTGTATTATGTTTGTAAATCATGAGACACCATGATACTAGAAAAATTTAAGTATGTGCATTCTAAATTACGCATGCAAATAGGATGCAACATGTTAACCAATGATCCTTAGTTGGTGGAAAACAAGGCAATTGGTAATAAACTTATTCAGAGTAAATATTCAATAAACATTTGTTGCATTGGGATGAGTTCTATTAAACTGTGAGGGGCAAAAGGAATGAAACTACAGGCAGCAAAATAGAAACTGTGTAGAGATTGGGACGCTGAATTTTTTCTCTTAAAGTTATAAAGTAACATTTGGCATTGCAAATGACACACGGAAGCATAGTAAAGAGAAGTAAATTCTGGGCAAGGCAAAAAGCTTGGAGTAGCATTCATTTCCACCAATTATCTTTTATATAGATCAGCAAGCAAAAAAATCTCTGGGGCAACTGATGCTAAAAGTAAGATAAAGTTTTGAGAATTTTAAGAATCTTCCAGGGGTACAAAAAAACTACTGACTAATTTACCTAATGCAAAAGAAAAGAATGAAGTGTTGTTCTGTTCAGATAAATACTTAGGCTTCTTCAACTTGGCTTTCACGGCCATAAAACTAATGGAGGAAAGAGAATACTTGGGTTGGGGTAACTTCCTTTCAATTTTCACCATACCTTTGGTGACTAACCATGCAGATGACCCTGGAGCTTCACTTCACAGGTGATTGGGTGGTATAAGATGGGCAGAAATAATTAAAAGCAATGAAATTCAACTCTGGTGAGGTGGAATGAATACATACATCCATAGCTGGTAGAATTGCAAACTTATAGAATCTTTTCAAAGATTAATCTGATAGTCTACAGTAAAAGTTATCATACCTTTTGAACTAATAATGTCATTGGTGGGAATGGACTCAGAAAATATTTTTTTAAAAAAATACCAAAAAGGGGCATCTCCAATAAAAAAAAAACTGAAAACCAACTGAACTCTGATGAATTGAAAAGACTAAGTTTGTTCCCAAAGCACAGATGAAACATCCATAAAGAAGCTGAGGATTATTGGTGTGTCATGCTGCATACACTCTCAGATGTGGTGCTTGTGTTGTAGTTGCATAATTATTCTTTTGTGTCGTTGTTAGGGTGGGGGGATGGCATACTGTGAAATGACTGGTGTAAAAATAAAAAACATCAATAAAACATAAAAAGGGCATATCTATATGATGAGTTTATAGCAGTATTATGCATAATTATTTAAAAATATATGAAAAAACTCTAAATATGCAACAGTATGGGGAATAGTTAAATAAAACATAACAATTAATAAAATGAAAAATAATAAGCAATAAGAATGACAGGAGTGAAGCGTACGAAGAAACCTATAAAGACTTACATGAAATAATTGAAAGTGGAAAAAAGAGCCAGAAAAATTGAACATACACTATTACCAGATAAAGGGGGGGGGGGCCGGGGAATGAATGAAAATAAATGGACAAGAAACCCTGAAGACTTTGAGGGAGTAACTGAAAATTTGTTAGGATACTCTTTGAATTCAAATTAGTTCATTTAAATGCAAATATTTACCAAGTCGATTAACTGGTAGAATTGATGTTCGATGTTAATCTTTTAATAAAAATATTTTTTAACGACTAGAGAGGGAAGAATGGAGCTGTCAACTTTTGTCACACTTTCCTGCAGCTGTGTCCAAATCCAAGTTATACCTCCAAGTTTTAAACTTCCAGTGAAACGAGAAAGGTCTATGATATGGGTGACAGCATTGTTATATTGACAGCTTTCTAATAGTTAGTCATTGTTAACATGTAAGTAGCACCTGAATTTTGAGTCCCTAATAAATCATTTGGGCATCAGAAAATCTACTTATTGCTTTCAATATGATAAATCTAAAAAAGAGCTAGTGAACTGAAACAAAGCTAGATTGTGGCTGGCTTGGAATGTCAGTGGCAAGATTTTTTTTTCCATCTGATAGAAAATGGGGAAACCTTGAAAGTTTGAAAGTAAAAGAGTGACATCATCTCAGTGGTTTACTAGGAAGATTACTGAAGCAGCCACATAGAGGATGAATTAGAATGAGGTTAGACTGGAAACAAGATGACCAGTTAGGTTATATTACAATAATCTGAATGAGAGGTGATAAGGACCTGACCTAGAATGGTCACTACGGACTGTGATGGAGATGAGGTCATTATGAGATATACTGTGGAGGACTGGCCAAGAGACCTCTGAAATATGTGGACTAACAGAAAAAAATCAAAGCTAATTTCTAAAGTTATAGACCTGAAAGACATGGGGCTCTCATCTTCCTGTTTACTTCTGGACCAGCTCATTGTTTGTCTTCAAGGATTGTCCAAGGCATAGATAAGCTAATCCAACAGGCTTTCCATCCAGCTGTATGTCATTGTTTGGGCAATATGTGTTAGCATTATTATTATTGAAGGAAAATAGTCTGCTTCACCAATAGAGCAGATTATTCATCTGATCTGCAGAGGGCACCAGATAATTTCATTTTTTCCAACAGATGGATAGGCATAGGGAATGTGGTACCTGCTGGTTGGGGCTGTCAGTCAGAAAGCTACCTGCTCTCTAAATGGTCATTTTGCTGCATGGAAGATTAAGTAGGAGTTGTTTCTCTTTTGTCACTGTGTATAAATCCATTGAGGTGATTCTCCCTCCTGAAAACTGGAGCTGCAGCTGAAATTCCCCTGAGCCCAAGACTCCTTCCTAACCATGAAACCGACACTTGTATCTGGGATAACCAAAGACAGCAATTTTCACTTTCCTCGATTGGAAAACTGAAGAGAGGCTGAAAGTAAACTGATTTAACTACTGAAGAGAGAGTGCCTGACAACTGCTTCTTCTTCAGCTGAGAGATAGAGCAGAGAAAGAAGAAATATCAACAGCAAACTTCTTTATCCTTTCAGCCCAACGCTAACGTTTCTCAACATACTCTTTCTGGAGGAGACCAAAACCAAAAACTGCTATCGAAAGCACCAAGAAAAGAAAGGGCGTCTTCAGAGAGATTTGTTTTCTAACCAGCTGGACCCTGCACTGTGCCCCAGCTCTAATCATCCCTCTTTGTTGGCAATGAATGCGACCAGCTCCCTGCTCTCTTCTCAGAGTCTGCTGTCAAAAGGCACAGAGGAAGTCAATGTCACCTTCCTCTTCAGCAACCAGAGCAGCCCTGGATTCTGTGAACAGGTCTTCATCAAGTCCGAGATCTTTCTGACTCTGGGAATCATCAGTCTCCTGGAAAACATCCTTGTCATCTTGGCTGTGTTGAAGAATGGAAATCTGCACTCCCCTATGTACTTTTTCCTCTGCAGCCTGGCAGTGGCAGACATGCTGGTGAGTGTGTCCAATGCTCTGGAGACAGTGATGATCGTCCTCCTCACCAATGACTACTTGACTTTTGATGACCAACTCATTCAATATATGGACAATGTCTTTGACTCCATGATCTGCATTTCCCTGGTTGCCTCCATCTGCAATCTCTTGGTCATTGCCATTGATAGATACATCACCATTTTTATGCCCTGCGTTACCACAGCATTATGACAGTGAAAAAAGCCATCACCTTGATTGGGGCTATCTGGATCTGTTGCTTCATCTGTGGCATCATGTTCATCGTCTACTCTGAGAGCAAGACTGTCATCGTGTGCCTCGTTACTATGTTTTTCGCCATGCTGCTCCTCATGGCCACCCTCTACATGCACATGTTCCTGTTTGCCCGGCTGCATGTCAAACGTATTGCGGCACTGCCAGCGGACGGGGTGATGCACCAACATACCTGCATGAAAGGGGCTGTCACCATCACTATTCTGCTTGGGGTGTTCATTTTTTGCTGGGCACCCTTCTTCCTCCATCTCATCCTCATCATCACATGCCCCACTAACCCCCACTGCATCTGTTATACCTCCCACTTCAACATCTACCTGGTCCTTATCATGTGTAACTCAGTCATTGACCCCCTCATTTATGCTTTCCGGAGCCTTGAAATGCGCAAGACCTTTAAGGAAATAGTCTGTTGTTGCAGTGGTATAAGTTCAGGGTAGTGTGCCTCATGCTATTCCAGGGTAGTGAAATGTAAGAAAACACCCTCTGAATTCTTCATTATATTCAGTGATAATATTTAGAAGTAAACTTTAAAGAGGTTTAAAAAAAGGTATCAATTGTTTCTTTAAACTTCTTTTTATTTAAGGAAAAAAAGGAAATTCTTCTGAAAGGGCAAATGTACAGAAATTACCCTTTAAATGGATTTACATGGTGGTTACAGCAGCAAAAATTACTGTATATCTCCTCAAGTGTCACTCCAAGAAACCCTTAAATTTAGAATGAGCTAGTCAAAATCTACATTGATTTCAAAAGCCAGATTCTATAGCATTTTCCTGTTAAACTGCTTCATTTCTAGTCATCAGACACCAGGGTAAAGGACTCACATTAACAGGTGAAAGTAGCTATAATCTCCTGGAAAAAAAACTGGACCTGTAACCACCTACCAAGTTCCTTTGATACCCTGTTGGAAATCAGACTTTGAGTTTATTTAATTACGGAGTAAGAGTTGCTGCCTTGTTATCCCTGATATGTGTGAGCCTTGAGCTATTTCAAGAGTATTTTCTAAGGTAAATTACCTCTTTGTGAAACATCAAGATGTTGATGTTGCTTTGTCAATTAGCTTTGGAATGTAACCAGCTTCTGTATTAAATTAAAGGGAGTCCTCAGAATCCTGACAAAAACAAGCCAGTGGACTTTGGGTAAAGTCAAGCAGGCACCACTGGAAAATGTACTATATTGACTCACTTTTTGAGGCATGGGTTATTCTTTTGTAGCTTTCTTTTTCTTTGCTTTTCTGATGTCTTTAAGGAAAAAAAAGAAAAAGAAAAAATGAGAATGAGATAATTTTCATGACAAGTACATGTGCTATTGCTGTATTCATTCTCCAGACAATTTTGAAAACTGTTGGTTTAACTCTTCAAAGCTTACTTATGTTCATCTCTAAACAGGTCAAAAATGTAGTTGGTTTTCAATAGTTACTGTGACCTAGTTCATATGCTGTATTCTTGGTATTTTATATTAAAGAAAATGTGTTCTGAATTGCTTTTAGCACTAGTTAGTTTTCCACGCTCTGAAGGGCATGAATTTCTTGAGTGAATTTCTTGAGTATGCTAAATGACTAAGTGCACCCTGACTTAGCTGAGTAACCTCAGAGCCCTGTCCCTCCTTTCCTAAGATTCTGAATCCTACTCTATTTAACTTCTGTTCTGTAATTCAATTTGTAATTGCATTTTGCCTCTGATAAATACTTGTGCTGTACTGTTTTTATTGTGTGAGAATGGATATTTTAGTGTATTTGATGTGTTACTTATTTGTCTTTAAACTTGTTTTGTGATACTGGTAAACTTATTCCATGCTATGCTTATGATGCTTTCAAGTGATGAGAGGTGTTTGATGCTGCTAAAATTAAAACAAAACTCCCCAATATGTTCTACTTTAAATAAATTATCTGCAACCACTCATGTGCTTTGTGTGTGATTCTCATGATTTTGCAAACAGTCACCACTGTCCTGCTGACAACACCACTCACTTCTGTATTTTTGGCTGGAAAACATTGTTACCATAGAAATACTACTTCCTAGTCATCCTCCTGTTGTGCCAGGCATATGGACACACAAGCGTCATCCCCACTTTTTTAAATGGAGACACTGAGTTATTGCGATTCACAGAAAAACACGCATCAAATAAGTGTCAGAACTGGGAGTCAGTGCTATAAGAAATGGAATCACAGTATTCCTACACTTATGTATATCTTTTGCTAAAAAAAATAAAATACAGGTTGATAATAATGCCTTAAATTGGCATAAGGCTTATTCTCTGGCAAAGGATTTTTCGTTGTCCCATTTGATCCTCACAATATCCTTTCCGAAGCACAAAGGATTACATAGTCCAGGCCCCTTTCAGTCATGGATCCCCTGGAAAGCTATTCAAAGTTCAAGATACCCTTTGGCTCATTATCCACTTAACAAACCATACTTTACAAGTCCCGCTAACATTTCCTTCACCAGATCAACTAGAGAAAACACAATTAGCTGTAGGGCCTGGATCTATGGTTTCATTAATAAAGGAATCACCTGGGTGAGGAAACTACATGTACAAATGTTGGTCAGCACCTTCTCTTCATTTTATAGTTTTAGAGAGTTGCCTAGACAGAAGTTAAGAAGTTAAGTAACTTGTCCAGGGTCATTCAGCTAGTGTGTTTCTGAAGCAAGATTTGAAACCAGGTCTTCCACACTGCCTCTCAAACACAATTAAGTGCACCAAAATAAAATTAGGTTGGATGGTGAGAAAGGAAAATAATATCCAGATATAGCGATTATGTCAATATTCAATAAAACTTTTTAAAAAAAGTCAAGAACAAAATAAAACAAATAACAAGGAAAATCCCCTCCATGAACATGGTGGTACACTTTCCTCCCGATTGCCACTTCAATTCTAAGGAGAACACATGGAGAGAAAACGTGTGGCCAGGATAGCATACATCCTTTCTGGGCATCTCCTGTCTGTGCAAAAGTCCCGTTAAAACAGAGGCCATCTCACTCAACTTCCATGGTCCTCTGGACCAAAAAATTAATTTTCTCTTCATCTGAAACATAATTGATATCCTCCTTTTCCCGTGAGTCATCATCATTTCATACTATTATCTCTATATATGACTCCAAAATCTTTTTCCATATTAAAGGCCTTTCAAACTTAAATTTTATTCTTTAGGCAAGAAGACATAATACACATTTTAAAATTAACATTCTTTATCATTTTGTACAAATCAAGATACAGGGCATTAATCAGAAAAAGAATATTATATAATTGTTACATTAGATGAAGTCTTTGCCATTTCTTCAGGGGAGTGACCTCTTTGATGAACTGTTCAAGTGCAGTGAAATAATCCTGGTACTGCTATGTGTCATTATGAGTTCCACTAGGAAAAATCACTGATCTCTTAGTTCAAGACAGAGAAAGTTCATAAAGATGCTTCATCCTTACTAGTGGAATTAACTGGTCTGAAAGACAAGTGATGAAAAGAGAAGGCATTATACCCTGAGAGATTTTTCTGTAGGACAGGGATTTATTTTTGTAGCCCCACAAAGGAAGACATAACATTAGAGAGAGTATTACATACATTCCATTAATGTGTCCTTTGTCTCTATGTGTATCCGCTGCCATTACTCCTGAAGCATAACACATCAGCACAGATAGACTTCTTCAGGGATCTGTTATCAGTTCTAAGGGCTGGGTATCATCAGATCTTCTCCTCAGCAGTCTCAGTCTTAAGATTATGGATTTCTCAAGCTTTTTAGCAGAATCTCTGGCTGATGTCAGGCTCTATAGCTAGTTTCTATTCCCTAGTGGCCTTCACAACTTTGGCATTTGTCAAGAAAGGGTCAGCCTCTACAGTAATCCCTTCTATACACCTCCTATCTGTACAAAAGTCCAATTAAAACAAAGGACATCCCTTATTTCTCAAATATATAGAGAACTGAGTCAAATTTACAAGAATTCAAGTCATTCCCCAATTGATAAATGGTCAAAGGATATAAACAGGCAATTTTCAAATGAAGAAATCAAAGCTAGCTATAATCATATTTTTAAAATGTTCTAAATCACTATTGATTAGAAAAATACAAATTAAAACAACTGTAATATGATAAAAATTATATATATAAATGTTGGAGAAGATGCGGGAAAATTGGGACACTAAGGCACTCTTGGTGGAGCTGTGAACTAATCCAATCATTCTGGAAAGCAATTTGGAACCTTGGTCAAAGGGCAATCAAAGTGTGCATACCTTTTGATCCAGGGATACCACTACTAGGTCTGTATCACAAAGAGAACATTAAACAAAGGAAAAGACCTACATGTACAAAAATATTTATAGCATCCCTTTTTGTGGTGGCAAAGAATTGGACATCGAAGGGATGCCCATCAGTTGGAGAATGGCCGAATAAGCTGTGGTATATGAATGGAATGGAATGGAATACTATTGTGCTATGAGAAATGATGAGCGTGCAGATTTCAGAAAAACCTGGAAAGACTTACATGAACTGATGCAAATTGAAGTGAGCAGAACCAGGAAAATATTGTACATAGCAACAGCAATATTGCATGATGATCAACTATGACTGACATAACTCTTCTCAGAAGTACAATGATCCAAGACAATTCCAAAAGACTTATGATGGAAAATGCTATCCACATCCAGAGAAAGAACTGGTAGAGTCTGAAAGCAGATCAAAATATACGATTTTCATTTTATTTTTTTCATGGTTTTTTTTCCTTTTGTTTCTTCTTTCACAACATGACTAACATGGAAATACATTTAACGTGATTGTACAAGTATAACCTATACCAAATTGCTTACTGTCTTAGGGAGGGGGGAGAAGAAGGAAGGAAGAAGAAAATTTGGAACTCAAAATTTTATTAAAAATGAATGTTAACGTTGTCTTTACGTATAATTGGAAAAAATACTGTTTAAAAAGTATCTATCTCATTTGATTTTCCTGGTCCTCAGGAGAGTACAGCAATCAAATTTTTCTTCATTTAAAACATAATTAATATCCTCCTCTTCATATTAGTCATAATAATAATAATAATAATACATGTTCAATGATTGCCTCTATACGTGACTCCAAAATCTTTTTTTCCAGTTCTAGTCTCTCTGCTCATTGTCTATCTCATATTGCATGGGCATCTCAAATTCAACACATCTAAAACAAAATTCATTATCTTTTTCATCCCCAAACTCTTCCCTCTTCCCAATTTTCTAGTTTCTGTTGGAGTACCACTGCCCTTTTGGGTACCCAGACTTGCAACCTAAAAGTCATCTTCAACTCTTCCCTCTCTCTTTCCCCTTTACATTCCATCAATTGTCAAATCTTGTCAATTCTACATCCACAATATATCTTACCTCTGTCCTTTTCTCTTCATTCATACAAGTCACCATTCTGGTTCAGGACACCATCACCTCTCACCTGAACTATTACAGTAGCATCTCAATTGGTCTCCCTCTTCCAATATCTCCACTCTACAACCCATCCTTAACACATATTAAATTAATATTCTTAAAGCACAGGTCTGACCATGTCACTCCCTTTTTCAAGAAACTTCAATGACTCCCACTGTCTCTGGGAGAAAATACAAACTCTTTTCTTTGACTTTTTCACAATCTGACTCCAGACCAATTTTCAGTTTGATTACTTTACTCTCCTTCACATACTTTGTTACATCCAAACTAACCTACTTGCTATTCCCTATATTCAATGTTTTACCTTCCATCTCTTTTTCTTCATAAATGCTGTCTTTAAAGCATTTTAAAGTCTTTAAATACACTCATTCCTCATCTTTACCTAAAAGAATCTTTAACTTCCTTTAAAATTCAATACAAGGGCTACCTTCGATAGGAAGGTGTATTCTTTTCTTTTCCTCCCAGTTGATAGTGTCTCCCCCAACGACATTACTTTATACTGTATTTCATACTCTATATACAAGCTATGTATCCCAATAAAAATGTAACTTCGTTGAGGGAAAACACAGTTTCACTTTTGTATTTCTAGTTCCTAGCACGGTGCTTGGCACATTGTAAGCACTTATTAAACGCTTTTTGAATGATTGAATCTAGCTCTATTATTGGTGGCTGAACACTTCTAGGCAGTCAGTATCTAGTTGATTTTTCATCATCCTCTCCATCTTTGTTGCCATGGAGTTCAACATACTTCCCTTTGGAAACAGGATACATATTGTTTTAGTAGGGTACTGAGTTCTCCTGGATTATCTTGAAATCTGACAAAATGCCTCACAACTTCTTTTCTTTGTGGGTGGCTTTTCCCTGGTCTATTATCTCATATTATCCCTAGGCACTAAAGGTCCGGCTGGACTCCCTAAAAGCAAACTCAAACATGACTGTTATTGTTTGTTCCTCTCTGAGCTCTTTCGAGCTAAAGCCATAGAAAGAAAAAAGGCTCCTTGAGCCAATCTCTTACCTAAGAAATATTGTGGCATTACAGTTTAGCATCCTTTCCATCTTCCAAGACTACAAAAAAAAAACAAATTAATAGGTTAGTGTGATATTCACCCAAACATCAGTAAGTGTGGGGTAAAGTCTATGGCATCCTTTTTGCTAGTATTATATGAATATACTAGAATGCCCTACGTTGACTCTGCTTAGCCTTCTGTTTGTATCACAGGGGCCCCAGCACTTTCTGTAGTATACAATTAAAACACTCAGGCTGTGGGTTTTCTTAATGTTGGTGAGATCTAGTTCCAGATTTCTTGGTTCCTAACAAAACTAACATCTCCTTAATTAGAATCATCTCAAACTCTTGACCTTGGTCCAAATGGATCCAGGCAAGGAAGCCATACACAAAGAAATACTTTTGCCACAGCAGCTTGAGAACTATAGAAGCTTTCTAACTCCTCAATGGATATACCTATGCATTCTGGGTAAAATGCTCTGTCCACCAAAATG